ATCACCAAGCGACCAAAGTCAGTGAATACGACTCTAAAGCTGTAAATCTTTAGTTGTGATGGATTTAAGATGAGACAGGTAAGCCGGATGATACTGAGATAGCACAAACAATACCAGCCTCGTCTTTTAACATATAACACAATACGACCTCCACAAATTAAAGCGTCGTGTTCCTTCAACGCCTCCCTGACGATGTCCAAGTCGCTTTCATTGGAGGACCGTGCAGCATTGATTGCATTAGACTGCCAGAGTGTCCAGTTACAAGAAAATCAAGACCCGTGTTAAGTACGTATAGGAGAGTTTTTAAATAGCGAGAGCAGCGGGAACGATTTAATGAATTCTCTCACAGCTTTAGTGTATCCATCATGATATGCCTCTGTGACACACTGGTCAGCAGCAGCAGGTGGTATGATGTGGCTGAAGTGTAAGTGGCTCTCGCAATGCAGGATAGCCTGTCAGCCGGAGGCCCTTAGGGGAACAGCTTCACACCACGCCGAATGGCCTTTACACACTCGCTCGCTGTCTGTCTTCTTTTGTGTGTGTGTGTGCGTGTGTGTGTGTCTAAAGTTGACATAGAAGTTCATCTCTCTTGTTGTGTGTGTGTGTGTGTGTGTGTGTGTGTGTGTTAAAGCGAGAGAGAGGCAGAGGATGTTAGTGGGTGGGTGTAAATCTCTGTCCGGCAGCACGCTGGGATGGGTGTTTGGGGACTGGTTGGAGAGCTGGCTCACAGGAGCTCAGATTGATGAAGTGATGGTGATGGATGGAGGTAATAAAGGCCTGGATGTCCTGTCTGTTGCCAGTGATGAAGCTGGTATGAATCACCCGTCTGGGGGCTGCGGAACATGACGCTGCTCAATCCCCAGGCCCTCCGACTCCTGCCACCCAACTCCGCCTCTGTCCCTCCGTCCGCTTTATCTCGCCGCCTTGTGACTTTGCCGTCATTTACGAGGAGGTCCTGAACGGGGAACAAACGTTCAGCGTCGTGCCATTACTGTATCAATCTGTGCTGATGCATACTTTGAAAGATATTATGAAGCTTCTTGTTTATCCATCTCGGAACACAGCGTGCGTACAGTTCAAAGCGTCGCACGCTGTTCATTAATTTTTGTGTCCAAACATCACTTGTTGAGTGATTGCGAGGCACGCGAGAAAAAAAAATCCAATCAACTCAGTCAGCCACTCCTCATGAATAGGGTCATTTGAATAAAGAGGGGCATCTGAAATTGCAGTTTTTGTGTCAACATAACAAGTTAATGATCTCAGATGATAATTGGTAGTTGGATGCTGGAGTGCTGTGTTGTGGCCCGTGAGGTTCAGTGCCAAAGACCTCCTGTGATAAAAGAAGCAGCATGAGGGCTTTCAAAGTGGCACGATGCTGTAGGCAACACAATTCATCACCGCGCCATGAATATTCATCCGGCTCTCCGGTTTCCTCCAGGGCCGGTGAAAACACGTCTGTATTAAGGCTCTTCTGTGTGTTGCGATTTGAAGACACCTAAACCTTCTGGCCTCTCATTACCAGACTGTGCTCTTGCTGCCCTGCACTCAGCTGCCTGCCAGGAAGGGAAGCCATACTTCATTAAAATAAAAAGGAAATTCTCTCGCTCCGTGCACTAACAAGGCAAGAGGTTAGACAGTCAGATGATTGTGAATTCACCCCTCTGCACACACTCACAGAGGTCAGGGCTAGTGATTGTGATTGAGCTTTTTCCGTAGTGAGCACGGTGGGAGGAGGGGAAGGGGGGCAAGTGGACACACGGATTTGCAAGCCTGGGCTGAGCGATTTGTGCGTGGACCCCAGTCTGAGGCTTGTTGTTAGCAATTTAGGAACATTTGCTGTGTCTTTTTCTCCCTCCCCGACCTTCTCGCTGACAGGAGCCCGGAGTACCACGGATCGGCTTCTGGGGCGTCTTTTCGGCGCTTTATCAGACCTGCAGGCTTACAGTTTAGGAAGAGGGTGCTTGACTGACAGGCCTTGGCCTTGGCGGTCCCTGGGGGGAAGGGGAGGGGGATTTGTGATGGCTGCACTGACTCGTACTTCTCTTACAATTTTCTCCAGGCTGGTTTCAGACTGTCAGGCTGAGAGAAAGCTCTCTCTGCATAATTCATTAGATCTCCTCTCTTTTTCACTCTTGGCTGCTAGGTGGCAGGCGCCGTAGCCCCATTGTTTAGGAAGACAGAGTAATGGAGCTTGTCACAATATGTTAACATAGTTTATTGTTCACGGCAACAGTTTGGAAACAACTTAACTTGCTTTGAAAGAGGCCGTTCGGCACATACGACGAAAAAATAATTATGAGGGAAGCAGAAAATTCAAATGGGCTATTTGAACAAAACGGCTAAAACACTTGCCTCCTTTAATTTATAATTGGCTAACAACATAAAAAAAAAAGATTTGCTAATTATAACTGCAATGTCATTAAAACGCCGAGACTGTAATCCAAAACAGAATATAGCTATACAGGTTGCAGCAAACATTGCTTTTGCAGCCAATTACCCCGGCATTGCCTGCATATGACACATACACAGGCTTGTCCTTTTGAAGCTTGTATACTGTCTATGGTCATAATCTAGCTGGCATTTATTTCTTGGAAATCTGCAAGGGAAAATATCTCATCTTTGATGCAACATGACATCCCCCTTCACAGAATATGACTAAACAAGCACATCCTCCAACATGCCGGAGCCAGAGGACAACTTCTGTCACTGTAGCAGTAAATAAGGGGCTGCTAGGGACGGGGCTTTCTATGAATCTACGCCAATTCAGAGCGGCGCTGACCTCTAAAACACCCTGTGTGGATGTAATGTGTCAGAGGCTTGCCAGCGTTTTTAAGCATTTTGTCTCGCGGTGGTGCGATTTTTGCATATCAAACACTGTGACGTGTCACTGGAGGCGGGTTGAGATTACAATCCCAGAATTCAATTCAGGGATCAAATGAGGGATAATTCCTGATGTGTTTGTGAATCATTCAGTCGAAATGAGTGAATTAAAATGCTTGTTTGGTTTAGCTGGACACAAGTGTTCAATATATCAACTTACTAACAACAAACTCTCCCTGTTGTGATTTCAACCAGCTCGCAATAAATAAGCCATTTAGTGAAGGGAGAACAAAAGGAAAGAAGTTAGAAGCAATAAGACAGACTGTAAATTCGAGCTTCACTGGATTTTTTTTGGCGTCTGCAGGTATATTATTTTCTTTGTACTGTGCTTTGAGTCGGATGTTTTTGAAAACACATTACCCCGTTAGCCCCCGTAGAGATCGCACTGCATTGGCCACGAGTCTTGTTTTTTGACGGAAGGGTCATAATGTAACCGCAGCAAGAAGTTGAGCATTTCGCTTTAGAGAGAAGATCACATGAATTGAACAAAACATGCCTCGGGGGGGAGGGAAGGGGGGGAAAGTTTCAAAGACATGCAAAAAGTAGAAGCCAGAATTTGCACATTAACATGAAAGTGAGCAGAATTTCTTTTAAGTTTATAGCCTGATATTAGTATTCTGATGCTACAGCAAAAAGAAAAAAAAGAAAAGCAGCAGCACCCTTATTGGCTTCTCATTCAAAGTCACGGATTACCTCTGCTGACTGAATTAAATGTCTCTGGAGTTGTTTTCTGTGTTGTTTAAATACTAAACACGAGTAAATGAGCTCGAGAACTTTTACACAATAGATTCAAACCGAGTTAATCCGAGAGAAGAAAACAGGCGTAATTAGAGGGGAGGAGCATGTTAAAAATACAAATCAAAGAGAGCAAACCGGCCATTTAACGTCCCTAATAAACAGCACAGACAGTTTCAAAGGGGACAAACTCATGATGGGATCTCACATAACTTCCAAAAACAGATCCTCACACTAGACTTCTGATGGATCCCTGGTCATCGGTGGTCTGCTGTAGCGTCACTACCAAGGTTGGAAAATTCAACACAACGCTGCAGGTGAAGAAATTCTTTGAATATTTCATTTCACAAAAAGACAAGAGGAAACAACTCACATTCTGTAGTCACGTTCACTTCACCGAGCTCCATACCAGGACTAGAATAACCTTAATGGAGCCAGATCAGATCAGGCATGTTGACCCTTTCAGAGCAGAAAAGTCTCATTTTATTAGAATTGTTTGGACATTTGCTTTTAGCTAAATGAGCTAAATTTTGCACTTTGCAGCTGATTGGTTTTAACTAAACATTCAAATCTGCCTAATAAGGTATTGTATAGTTGCACTCAACACATTTTACTCTTCAATGAGCACATTAACGGTTTGATCGTGTTGAAGCTGTTCCATGGATGTGCTTATTTAAAGTTTTAGAAAGAGCCCTGGTAGGAACACAATCACTTGCAAGAGGATAGTTTTGTGGTCAAATTAGGGCACCGGACTGACATTTAACTTGGTAATTAGGGGATTCTAGTGCCTTTGTAATTAAGAGTAGTTTATCTTTGGGAGAAAGGAGGTTTTATTTATTTCATAGGAAATCGTTTTGGTTTTTTAAATGCTTTCCATCTATTATAGTCGAGTGAAATTCTAATTATTTAGAAACCTCTGATGCTTCATTTTATTTAAGCACTACATATGATCAACCCGGAAACGCAAGGGGGAAAAAAAAAAGAAAAAGTTTTCTTTCCTCACATGAATATATTTACTGCTTGTTCATGTTTTGTTTTTTTTAAATCGACACGTCTTGTAAAAGCTAAAACTGGTCTGGATTCTGTCTGGAAGCGTTTGCAGCTGAAGAACAGCCTCTTCATAGATTTTGTGGTCTCTAAGAAACAGCTGTGCCAAAGTGAGTGAACAGTGCCACCCACTGGGGGAACATTGATGTGATCTTTAAGCATCGATGGAGGAAACAATGAAACGCACGCCTCCTTTAGAAAAATCTAATGTCAGACATTTATGGCACTGTACAGCGCGTCGATGAAATGATTACGTTCTCCGGTGGTTTGGTGTGTTGTTGTTGTTGTGATGCAGCGGCGCTCCGAAGGGAAACGAGAAACAGAGGACAATAAGAAAGTTTGGTTCCTCTTTACTTTGTTCTTTATTACACATTAAATAGGAGTGGTGAGATTCATGGCAAAAAATAGACTCATTTTGAGATCAGATCACCACTCTACACTGCCCACAACAGGTTGGTTGTAAAGTGGTCATTCATTCACTTCCCTAGACCTGGACCCAGTCACACTCTCTAGTCACATACACAGAGCGGAGTGAAACTCCATTAAAGCAACATTCATTTAGACACACCAACGAAATGAAGCACAATTTACAAAATATGCACCTTTCAGTATCACAACTATACAAAGGTTGTTAAAATACGATCCAGGTATAAATGATACATTTCAGAAATCAGCTGTTGGCACGCAATAAAGGAAGAGGAACATTTCAAACATTACAGTAAAACTACTTTTGAAACAGTATTTGTTAACAGGAGGGTTCCATAATTAAAATTGCATTAACAGTTATTATCTACTTCATGAAAAAACGAGGTAATAATAAACTGGGTCAAAATCCATTAATCCTGAAAGCAAAACGTATCGTGTCTGGATTCTCTTGTGTGAATATCGCCGCTCCCCTAAAAAACAGCATTTCGTGTATCTCTGGCGTACACGCAGGACAAAGTAAATGTGGTCTCGGCTCTTCCTACCGTCTAAATGTAGCACCTAATGCAAAGATAAAAGGCAAATAAAAATCCCCAGGCGGACGCTTTGTAAATACAATGAAGGAAGGTGACACACGGGGTGACCCGAGAAAGCAACCAGGACTTTAAATAAATTCGGACAATTTTCTCTAGAAACCAATTTTATGGCAATTACAGCCTCATTTACAAACATCCGTTCCAGTTAAATCACCACGATACACAAGTTGTTGTTGTTTTTTTTCCGAGAGAAGATGACAAATTATTTTTGCTGGACAATCATTTCTGTTGAAAGGCAGGCCACCAAACAATTTCAACACTTTAGCAAATGAATCCCAAAAAAAAAAAAAAAGAAGAAGCTCGGCATGGGGAAAGAATCTGAAAACCCATTTGGACAACGTTTTGAACAACCTCTGCGACACCACACCGAGGCAAATATTCCTGACAGCTGCTCAAAAGATGCATTTAGCTTTCTAGCCAGTCGCGAGCAAGCGAGCTTAGGAAAAGTGTGCAAGGTGTGACACCTCTATGGCCAGCAACTGGACGCTCGTGAATCCTCAAATTTAGCATTTAACTGAACATTCTGCGGTAATGTGAAGTCCTCTAGGAGGAGCGTGCTGACAAGTCGGGATGAATCACAGCCATCCTACAGCTGAGCCTAAAGAAAAAGCGGGAATATTTTAACCAGTACGGTCAAAGAAGGCATAAATCTCTGCAACATAAAAAGACCAACATAAAACCTGGCTGTTAGTCCCATTTTATGACGACAAAATGGGTTAGAAATCATCATGAATCTTTGAATTTGTCATTTATTTCCTAAAAAAAAAAAGAAAAAAAATGGCAGATTTCTCTCTCACAAAAGCAAATATTAACTTTTTTTTCTATTTTATTTTTTAGAAACGTGAAAAAGCAGACTGTACGATGTCCACTCGAGTTCCTCGTTGCTGGCTGTTCAATGCATCAACCAGAGTCAGTTTTGCGATACCCATGTCATCTAGGACACAACGCATGCAAAAAGAAAAAGAAAAACAAAACACATCTCGTCTCATGAAGGCAAGAAATCACTCCCCACACAGTACAAAGCAATGATAAATTGCAAATTAATTAATAGCTAATTAGGGTGTTAAAACATTCGGAGAAGGGTAGGAGTTCGCATGCATACTGAACAGTGACATAACTAAGTCATACCTAGAGGTCATTAGAGACGGGGGGCAGGTGGGGGCATTACACAGTGGCTGGGACGTTTGGATCTCATCTGGCTGAACGTTGGTCCTTCTCTTCCGTTTTGTCTACGTTTGAAAATTCATTCTTTGGCATCCCGTACTTTAAAAAGGGGCGTTACAGAACATTTGCAGGCCACGACCTTTTCGAGCAAAGAGGGGGGAAACTAACTCAAAACTCGGTAATGAATAATTCGTCATTTAAGCTCCCAGCTCCGCGTGAGATTATCCAAATTATCTTAGAGCTCATCGGGCTGTTGGACCAACACATGTCAGCGACTGGCACTAAAACTGAAGACGGAGCTTATCGGTGACCAAAGTAGCAAATAAGAGAAAGGCAGAAACTTCAGGTCAGGTTTTAGTATTCAGTATGGTGGGTATTGAGAAAGAGGCTAATAATTTAGTGTAATGTACAAAATGTATTACTTGAACTGTTCAACATAGTTTCTTTTCTCTCTTTTTTTTTTTTAGTCTGTCTTGAAAAGGGGCTGATTATTCACATAAGTGTACACTTTGTCTTGGACTTCTTTTTCTTCTTTTTGCCCTCCTTGCTCATCTTCTCCTTATGCTTCCGGATTTCTCGCACTAATGTGTAAAAGGCATCGTCAACGCCCTGCAGAGGGGGGAAAAAAAGAGTTGTCAGAATTAATAAGTTAGTGGTTCATTTAAAAAAAAAAAAAAAAGTCAGAATTAATAAGTTAGTGGTTCATTTAAAAAAAAAAAAAAAAGCAGATTAAACTTGCATGTACAAAAAAATAAAAATAAAAAAATCATAAGGGATCTTGTCAATAACCACTTTATATTGGCTTTAACTCATTTTCTGCTAAGTGTTCAATCAGCATGTCAGTGTGACACAAATCAAAGATCAATTCAGGCTATTTGGGACACGGCTGGATAAAGTATGGATCCAATATGTATCCCGGAGCAGAAAGTCGGCGGCGTTCCCGCTGACTGACAGTAGCTGCAGTCACATGAGCCAATCGCTTTCCTCCTGAACGCTTAAACGATCGCTAAATAAAACCGAGTTGCAATAATCTGTGTGCATTCCACCAACATTTAATAAAAAACTAAAAAAAAAAATAAATGTGGACCTGTTTCGAGCTCTTGGCACCATCTCTGGTTCACCTCTGAGAGTCTGAAGCAACACTTTTATAAAAATATTAGTTTTTGAACAGAAGGTAATTGCGCAAAAAAATTTAATAAGCATAAATTATTCAAATGTGGTTCCACTGGAAACACGTCGCTGAGAAAAGTGGTGGAAAACTCTCCTGAGCGACCAATAAAAGCAGGTAAACAGCTTTGATTTTAGTCAAGTGAGCAAATATTCTAAAAGTAAAAAACCTGAAACGGAGAGTGAAGGAAAAAAAAAACCAAGCCACCACTTTCAAGCTGATTTTGTTTTTGAATTTGGCAATTTATTCTGACTGAGGTGTTTTAAAGGAGGCTTTTTTTTTTTCATTCTCTCGCCGAGCTCTTATTCTGGTTATTGGAGAATAATGGGCTCCATGGAAATGCAGCTAGTGTCTGCTGACGGCACTCTGAGTGAGATGCACCTCAACAGTGAGGGTAGCGCGATAAATGTGACGATAATCTGCGAGGAGCTGTAGAGTAAAAAGCCTGAGGCCACTTTAGTTTGTGACAAAGACAGCAGGAAAACAAAGACAAAAAGGGATTCGTATCTGCAAGAAAAAACAAAAAACTTTCTCACCCACAAACACACTTTTTTTTGTCAAGAGCATATTCACCAGTTTCCTCCACGGAAAACATCTCAGCACATGATTTAGTCCCACCATGATTTCCTTTAAACACACACGATTACCGACAAGCCCAAACCCAGTTTGTTTTTGTTCACGTTGATTTCAGCACATTAGGACACTTTCACACTGGTAGTCTAGTCTGAATCTGGGACGAGCTCAAATAGAGAACACTTTTTCTGAACGTGAGGAACTTTTGCGGAGGTGGTGTGAGAAAAAAAAAAAGGTTTCCTTGCTGGAAAAGGTGCATTTTTGTATTGCTTCTGTATTTTTTTAGCAAAACAGGACAGAAAACCTCTCACTGGTGTATTAGCAAGAAAAAACAACCCGGCTTCATAGCTTTAAACCTCCATTTAGGGATGCTTGGGTTTGTTTGTGACATTTTCAGCCCGTTCTGACAGCTGTGGCTCCACCTGCTTGTCTCCATTTCTTATTTACATGTAAAGGCATACAGTCATCATTCCCTTTTTGGAAACAAGAGCCTTCAGGAGAAAGAACAACCCTGCGAAAAAACAGCAGACAGGTTTGAAAGTAGACCAGCTCAATCAAAGTTCTGTTCAGACTCAGTCCATGAACCCAGTGTGAAAACGGCCTTAAACAATAATCATCATCATCATCAACCACGATACACAGAAACACTGAAAAGGAAAGAAGTGATCAGCTGTTCCAGCCTTCTGTTAGAGCCTCACCACAGCCCCAGCAGAAAGCAGCAGGTTAGCTTTGAGAACATACGAAGCGCCAGCTCTCATTGGGTGTCTCCTCCCATTGCCTTCTCCACAATCCCCCACTAACAACAACAACAACACACACACGCACAAACACACACAGAGCTGGTGGGTGCATACACTTACCCCTTTCACATCACAACACACTTTTTAAGCTTGACACAGCGCGGAGTCTTTTCTTCCTTGCTGAGCTTATTGAGCCGGTACAGCCTGATCTCCCGTACCAGAGTGTAAAAGGCATCTTCCACTCTCTGCAGTGTGAGACACAACTTTCCTCAATGCTGAGGAATACATGGGGAGGGACATACTGCATGGGTGCATGTGTTACAGGCTACAGGTACAGATGAGCGACGTGGGTTCGGCCTTGCCTGATCGCCGACGTGTCTCGATACTCTGAAACACTCGCCACCTGCAGGCTTGGAGAGGCTGTTTGTTTCGCTGAATTCCAACGGCGGCAAAAAAGTACAAAAACATACCGACAAATAATTTATGGCAAAATACAAAGACTGCTTCTGTCTGAGGTTTTGACAGAAGCAGTGAGTTTAGCTGTATTTTGCTAAAACAACATCCTGAGCATAGAAAGAAGTGGTGACGTGGATTAGAATTCTGACGTTTTATTAATTTTTTAAAAAAATGCCACCATTCAAATAAATTTCAACCCAGCTAAAAGCAAACTATGAGCTTCAAAACAGCCGCCTTCCAGGCCTGCAGTGGGTAAGTGACTCGAAAATATCTTGGGTGGAGTCTCACTTCGACTGTTGAGCACCGACATAAAGGAGAAGTGCATGCAGTAGGAACACATCTTGTGTGCGTTACCAGATTTTTCCAGAGAAGTCAGACGAAATCATTGAAATTTGAGAAACGACGAGCAGCTTGAAATGAAAGTGACAGTTGCCGGCCGAACAAAAAGCAGCGCCGCGTGGTCGGTGAATTACCGGCACGCTCAGGTTGGATTAGGTGAACAAAGCTGTAAGTCATTGTGTCGTTAATTTCCGCCGCCGCCGCCCCCCCAACGCACCAGAAGGAGCCGTGATTCACCCCCAGGTCAGAGAGACGAGGAAAATGTGTTTACAGATCACTCCATCAGCCAGTCAGCTACCTAAGGCCATGCTCACAACACACACCATTGGATGTGACACCGCGACCAATCTTCCAACACCCAGTTACAGTAAACCAGTAAGTGGAATCATTAACCTCCTGAGTAATTACCGACAGTTTGTCCTTTCATGCAGACTCCTTGACACAAATTTACTGATCTGCTGATTATTTATAATGCGGGATCCTTTCGCAGGTGGGCCTAATGATGATGTAATTTCACATCTCCAAGACAAAGTAGCATGCAATGATTACATTATCACCCATAAATAAAAATTCAATTAACCAAAGAGGATTTAATGATGCACAACGCCCTGCCTGAGAGATTTCCAAGCAACGTTGTTATAAAAAAAAAAGACCATTAGAGACAGCCAGTGTGACACAAATCAACAGCAGCACATGACTCAATCACATTTCTTGCGATCCAAGTGCCAAGATTGCCAACACCCCTCTCAAGGACACTTGTCAGAATCATTATGAGGCCAATTTTTCCTAAATAATAAAATTTGACATGGGAGTGAAATTGACCTGTAGTGAGAGACTAAAGCAGTTTAGTGACACACTTTGACAAATGAACTGTTGAGAAACTTGCGGGCGTAGCCGTCTGCGGCCCGAACTCCTCACCTGTCTGGTTTTGGCTGAGGTCTCGATAAAGGGAATGCCGTAGCTGCGTGCTAAGTCCTGAGCCTGCTTGGTGTCCACTGTCCGGGACGGGAGGTCACACTTGTTCCCCACTAACACCATGGGGACGTCCTCGGAGTCCTTCACCCGCTTGATCTGTTCTCTGGGACACAATGGAAACGTCATTTGATTTTAATTGAATACTTCATTGTCTGTGTAACTCCGTGCTGGATGGCTTTCACTGATAAGAATAAAGGGAATTATTGGCTTTAGCTCATTTGCAGATAGCATGTTGCTGTGAGCATCACAGCTTCACAATTAGTGTTTTAATACAACATTTCATTTTCATAAATCAAAAAAAGAAGGAGAAAAAGGGGACTTTACAATTTGATGTTACAGATTTTAGTATAAATTGTTCCTGTTGATTTAAACACATGAACTGTGACCCACAAACCATCAATGACAGAATTCTGTTAGAATAAAAACAGGATGTGTAACAGAAGTAATGCTATTGAATTATCCAGATTGTTTTCTCCTGACTGACTGGATCCTTGCTTGTGTTGTATCTGCTCTCAGATGTTCATCGCTTCGGATAAAAGTGTCCGATGAATGAAACTGTAGAATTATCAGTTAGATTTAATTTGCCTAGATTATTTTAATTCAGGGTCACCTTCACAAGATTATCAGAATTTACCAACATGGTGCAATGTAGTG